GCTTCCCGCTCATTCAGCTACCATCACTCCACTTTCAGATACAAAAATCTGAGCATTTTAAAATTATGTTTGCAGGGATCAGTGACTCATTGGTGACTTGGGGAGGCAATGGAGAGGCTCACTCTCAGTTTATTAGCCTATAAAAAGTGATACAGAATACCAGTCAAGTCCTGTTTCTCTCTTTTAGGCAGTGTAGGAAAGTTTGTAGCTTGTCCATTGTGGTGATCAATCTTCTGCACTGCACTGAAGTTAATGATTTTACACTAATCCATTCTGCACTCCAGCTAAACTGGGTTAGTTTGTTTGGAATAAGCAATACACTGTTACTTTCTTAGACTTCTGAAAACCCCTTTGGATTGTGTTCATGGAATGAAGATTAAATACTAAGAAAAAGGAAGCTGTATACATTTCCTCAAGCAATTTATAATGATAAAGAAAATTATTAGCAGTGAGTAAATGGGCATTCTTAAAAAGAGAATTATGATTTTCAGAAATATGTCTTGAAGGTGCTGGGAAAGATCTGTCATCTTTTGTTAACAAAAAATCAAAAAGCTATTAACTTTGGTCATTTGGAACATTTAGTTCTGGATCCAAAATTTTATGAAAAACAGTTACTATTAAGCAGTAGTTTGTTCTAAAGCTGTTTTATGGCAGGTCTAGACATAGCAATACTAACCATTAGGCCATGAGATGGGGTGGTTTTTTTTCCTCTTTTAGGTGGGAATAGCTGAAGAACAGGGTGCCTCCCTTCTCTAACTTAATCTGAACTCAAAATAACTTTTGTCTTGTTATAACAGCCCTTTTTCTGAGTCACTGTATGAAAAAGAGACTGGAAGTATTGGATATTGCAGATCAAACACTTCAAAGCCAACTTTGACTTAGTTTTATGCATGCTTTAGAGTAGACTAATGTACAATAGTATCCAGGAAACTCAGCCAGTAATTCATATGAGTCCAAAATGTTCTCCTTAGGATGAATCATAGCAGCATAAATGATAGGATTGGAGAAGATCCTTTAGGTCATCCAATTCAAAACCTGTGTATCTTCCTTTTCACTAATCCCCACTAGATTTCGTCTACCCTGTTTCTGCAATCTTCTCATATCCTTGACTCAGCCACTTCCCTGGGTAGTTTTTTCCATTGCCTGATTGTTTAACCTGAGCATTTTTAAACCTTACACCATCATGCTTAGTGTGAACAATTTATGATTACAGAAAATGATCCTTTCTCCTCCCTTCTGCCACCATGATCAAATACCATCTCTCCCTTTAAATATGTCATTGTTTGTGTTTTCTTTTTTTCCCCTCTAACTACATGAATAATAATTCCAGGAAAGTTGGGGTTTTTCAGCTGTCTTTGGTGCTTCTGTCACGGTAACTGATTTTCTTTGAACTTTTGGTTTTCAAGGCTCAAAAGTACATTCTGATCTACAAATGAACTTTCTGTGACTCAATGATATGTGTGTATTAATCATGCTTTTCAAGAGGCAAATTAACATGACTGAGGTATTCTGTGTCTTTGTTTGTAGGATCTGATTTCTGAGGGTGCTGATGTCCTCTGATTAACAAATACACAAAATTTGAGGGATTTAAGTGACCGTTTTGATGTCAGATGTACTTAATACCATGTTACTAATCAGGTTATTAATTTAAGCATGTATTTGGACTCTGTTTTGAAAAATGACCTCCAAACTTTCTTGGAGTTGCATGGAGTTGCCTACTGCAGAGTTAAAATTTATCATGATTATTTCCAAAAGCAGCTTCCCAGTTTGTAGCTGTGCTGATAAATAGAGATATAAACCTTTTAATATATATTTTTTTAAGTGTGTGTGCTCAGACCAGTGTTATTCTGATAGTATTTTTGGATGAACTATAAAATGAAACATTGAGAACTTTATAACGGGGGACATGAAGATGAAAGGAAGCTCTTTTTTTCCCTGATGAAATGAGGGAATGCAGAATTTGTTATTTTTACCCTGTATTTTTTAGGATCTGCCTAAGCTTGTCAGAGTATGCTGATGAGAAACCTCTCTGATGTTAATTATCTCATCTGCTATAATGTAGCATGTGCCAGTTTGATCAATGTGACATTTATGTTTTTCTCCTAGATGACTAATAAATATTTCATGTTGAAAAAATACAGGGTAGAGGTGGGAAGGCTGGTTATTGCAAGCCATGTTTTTATGATTCTATGCTGCCTCCCATTTTGGAGTTGCACAATAAAAATAGCTGCATTCTGTGCCTCACCTGTCAGCTCACCTCTCCCACAGTTTACACATGTAGTTCTTTGATCCATGCCGAAGTATTCCAGGTTCCCTATAGCCATATATAATGCTGTTGGGCAAACTTTTGCAAACCTGAGGTAAATCCCACTATATAACTTCACTTCTGCCAGTCCACAATTACAGTTAATGCATTAAGTTTAGTGGATCCAGCATGTTTCATGAGCTTGAAAGTAACCATTCACATGGTTCATTTTGATATGGCAGTTTGTAGAAATAGACACAAGGGTCATTTGTAAGAAATTGATGTCATGGAAGTAACTGATTTTGAAAGCAGGATCTTGGGCACTAATTTTTTGGCTCAAATAAATTTTTTTTTACATTATAAATTTATAATTACATTTTAATTTTTAATATGCCATGTTTTCAGCCCAATAAAGGAAAAGATGCATTAGGATATTAAAAGCTTTTCATGAAGCTTTTTTCCCCGTGATATTTTTTTAAACCTCCCTTTCTTATTTTCTGTTCTGTTATGCTTCTTAGAGGTCCTCTAGCCAGCCAGTTCTTAAAGGCAGGGAGGCTGAGAGCACTGTGCAGTGGCAGTATCCTGTCTTAAGTCTGCAATGCTAATGCACAGATTAGTAGACTCTTGATCTCTGGTAAATCTGCAGTCATTCTCTTCAGGTACAAAGAGCTGACCATAATCATAACTTCTTTTTTCTGTTTCTCATCTGGACTATGTGCGAGTCCAGCTTTTACAAGAGTGTGCAGCAGCCATTTTCATAATTCTTTTACTCTTTTCCTTGATTGTGGTGGGAAAGTAAGATATTCTCTGGTAGTTTTTTAATGCAGAGCTGTAAACAGCTGCAGATGTGATCTCAACAAAGCTATGTAATCAGGAACAGTATTAACTGTGAGTTTAGCAGTGCTTTCTACACTGCATTGAGCTACATGGGGTATTTTACTGCAAATACATGTCTTAAACAACTTTTTCCTCTGTGCTACTTCTGGAGGGCTTTTCTCATGAACTATCTGTGTTTAATTTTGTTATTTCCACAATGTATTTCAAGTGGCATATCCTTTTATCTTCTCTCAGATCTGTTAATTTCTTAGTCCTAGAGCGCTGTTTCCTTCTCCTCCTCAGCTTTTGAAGCTCATCTTGGTTTCTTATAATCCACAAATTTCATTATCATGCTACCTACCTCCTTCCCCATGATCATTAATGAAACAAGACGGGACCTGCTGCTGGTCCCTTTGGTATCCCAGCGTGTGCTATGTGATAAGAGTTTTGAACAAAAGAACTGCCTTTTGAGGGCTGACCTTTGGAAAGCCAAGTCAGCTCTTAACGTGGTATTTTTAATTGTCCTTAAAAAAAAAAAAGTAGAAACTTCAGTAAGGGGAACGTCTTAGCCCCTTGGGGCCTTGGGCTTCCAGCTGTTGCTGAAATTTTACTGCTTTAGTCTTTTGTATCTCAAGGCTTGAGATAACATTTGTTCAGTTTAGTACCATCACCCATGAAAACCACTGTAAATACTAAAATTCCCAAGCATCAAAAACATCGGAAGTGTAAAAACTGGAAAAGAAATGTAGATGGTTTTGATCATGTGGAATAGAACAGATGTAAATGAAAGCATAATTTTTTATAATTATGCAGGTTGTTTGTGCTAAATTCTGTGTGAACATTATTGTGAAAGCAATTAGGCTGACAGGTGACTGATGGCTTGAGTTAGAACACCTGGATGCTCAAATTTTATTCTACTGACCTGCTGGATCATTTTGCTAGGTGTGTGGGGATTTCAGCCTTCTTCAGAGATGGCTCATAAGGAAAAAAAAAAGATACCAAAACAAACCTCATAAAATCTGTGTGTAATTTTTATTATTGTCCATATATCATTTGGAGATTATTCCAATTTATTTTAGATTGCTTTATATTAATTAGAAAAGGATTTAAGTTGAATCGTTTTCAACCTAAAGTAGGTGTGGATATGTAAGAATCTGATGGGTGAAATAATCACTTTTAATTTAAGTCATGAAAATATGTGTGTATACAAATTTGTGTGATTATCCACTGTTCTTTTTCTCCCTAGATATTCCAAGCCATTTTTATGAGTTTCTATACCCTTTTCAAATTCTGTCAGGTTAATTATTGCAAATATTATTATCCTATTCAAGACTGATTAATCTCTTGAACTAACATTTAAAAATAGGAAACTCATTCTCTTGGCTTAAGGCAAAAGTTATCTTCAGTACAAGATTTTGGCTTTTTTCCCCTTCCCCAAGCTAAAACTCATGTATATATATACATACATATATATATATGTGTACATATACATATATATACACAAAGTGTATTCTTACTAATGAGTTTATGGAGTCAATTTTCTATTGTTTTGCAATTTGTATTATGAGTTCTACCCAGAAAAAGGGACAGGAAAAATGCAAGGAGGTTGGAGTAACTGTGTCTCAGATCATATGCCCAGTTGTTCTGTCATTTTTTCCTGATGCAAAAGTAATTTATGATTTTATAACTTGGACTGTTATCATCTATGATATGTATAAAAGAGCTGATGTGAAATCGCCTTTTTTGTCTCAAGTTTTCGTATTTTCTGAACTTGTGAGTGCTTGAATTTGCAAGTTATGCGTTTTTATCCTGTTTTGCGTGTAATAAATTGTTTCCTCCAGCTATAACCAAGGCTTTCACAAACTGATGGAATCAACAATATAGTGCATGTAATTGCCAAGTACACTGAATTTTTAAGCATCTTCTTTCTGCTTTACAGGTTTGTCTGAGGATGCAGCAGAGGAAGCAAAAAGCCATGAAACCTGAAGACAACCCTCAGGAGGAATTTCTATCTGATGTCTGATGCATTTATAATGCAGTAGTACTGATACATTTTAATCTGTACTGATTGCAGTTTCCAGGAGAGGACTGTGCTAATTTATTAAAAAAAAACCCCAAGCAAGTTACATTCTAATAATTTTGGTTGGGTCTCCCTTAACAACTACTAGCATCCTTTCTGTGAGCAAAGTTTAAGCACTTACCCAACTGTTGTAGGGGTGTTGTGTTGTATTTTACAATATATCATCCCTTTCTGAGGATTCAGTTGATTGATCAAAGACTGTTTACACATAGTTAAAAGCAGCCTTTGTTTCAGGATATGTTTTATCTTTTTAAAAAAGATATTCTGAACTGCACCTCCCTTTGAGATTATATTAACATTTGTTATATCACAGTTTTGACAAAAGATAACTATCTCGTTTCCTCTTGTACTAACGTTCACAATTCCAGACAGCTGAATTCACTACCAGAAGAAAAACTGGTAATCCATCAACTCTTTTTCTCCTCTCTCATTGCTTATACAGACTCCTGCTCTCTAGAGATATAGAGTAAAATATGGTTACTGGACATAAAGGGCAAACCCTTTTGCCATTAACTATGTCACTATGAATGGGAATAAAGTTTACACTGTAAGTACGTTGAACACAGCAACACATGGATCTTTTTATGGTTACCTGTGTTTTTCTTGTCAATCAGTCTGTTCTAGTTATGGGCAAGATTTTCAAAAGTAACTAACAATTTTTGAGTGCCTTAATTTTTATTAGTCTGGTTGGAGGATGCTTTGAGTGCTGTGTATTTAGAAAGTGGTGAGTATTCGCCCTCTGAAGGTCAGATCCACGCAAGGTACTTCAAATGGAACGCCCAGCAACTGAGGCAAACTTTGAGAGGACCTTGGCCTAGAGTTTGAAAGAGTCAGGCTCGTGTCCGGATTTCTGAGACCGAGTTAAGATATTACTAAAATGTACTTGGAAATGAAAATAACTGAGACCTGGGTCAAATGTATAAACAGCATTTGAATGAGCCCTCTTCTGACTGTTGCTGGTTCATACCAAAATACAAGTTGGCAGTCTCTTGGATGGCAGATAGAAAATGCACTGATAGTCTAAGTTTAGTTTCTGGTAGATGCGATTGTCTGAGCCATCTCCACAGTCCATGCTCCTGTTGATCTCCTCAATAGGGATTCACCAACTCCTGTTCTAGCTGTAGAATAGGCCCCTCCAACTCACTTTTGTTTTAGAAGAGATTGTGACAGTTGCTGTGGTCGATGCTAGCTTGATTTGTGGACAATAAGGAGACACTGTTTTTTCAGGATGTCTTAAGCCATCAACCTTCATCCTCTCCATATCTACTTTCAACTTCTTTGCATCCACCCCTGAAACAAAACCAGCTTTGCACTACTTGTGTATTTACTGCTTAACCCTCTGGTCCTACTCTAGTTCAGTAAACATGATATAACTGTTTCAAGGAGCTTTTTTAACATGTTAGCTATTAAATAGGGCTCAGTAGCCAGGGAACTGGGTAAGGCCTCTGATACTTCTAGGGCTGAAGTGAGCCATAACTCTCCATAAGAATGACTCTGTCCCCCAGGAGATCTCAGATATCTACAAGTTGTGGGGCCAGAAATCTTGCTTCTTTCTCAGGAAGGAAAAATCATACCCCCTGCCTGTTATGGAGTGATTCTGCTCTCTGAGTTTTCTTCACTCTGATCCCTCCCCCATGGTTTTTGTCAGGAGGGTAGTATCCAACCCATTGTCAAGCTACCCTGCTGCGCTGTGAAAATTACACAATAAAATAATCTCCTGTAGTCTCTGTACACACCTCAGTGACCAAAGAAAATCCATGGAGAACTAATCAATTACTGTAGCTATTAGGCTTAAACGTTAACTATAGATCTCAAATCTTCTTTTGTCCTCTTGTCAGTGGCTACTAGGTTATCTAGAAAAATCAAGCACAGTTACTACCAAAAGCCCATACCATAATTGTGTGGAATCCTGGACCAAAGAATCCTAAGCTATAGGCATATAATATAGCTGGAAAGTACACTGCTATGAGACTTCTTTGAAACATATTACTCTGTCATAATTCCCATTATTGAATGTGATCCCAGTGCTCAGAGCTGTCGGGCTTCATTGGGTTTTTAAGGTAAATGACGAGTAGGCACTCAAGTCAATATGATCCACTCTTATTTAAGTTATTTTCTGTCATTTTAGGATGTAAGGCTCAGAAGCACTCTTATTTGCCTTTTCCGCTCCATGCTTCGTAAAATAAGGTCTCATGAGAACAGTTTTACAAAAAGGGGAAAACATACTGGTAATAAAGAAGGGGGGAAAGAAAAAGATAGAACTGTCTATAGTAGTAATGTATGACCTCTTTGTATATTGTGCTAAATTGCAGTGTTTGATAGTATCATCAGGATTTAAAAGTTGCATTGAGTAAAAATTACTTAGTTTCCCCCAATGCCAAATAGTCCATCTAATTCAGAGGAAGGAAGTAATTGAAATGTAGTCATTTACGCAGCAAGCTAAGAGGAAATATTGTAAAGTAATTCTTAGCAGTTCTCAAATGTAGGTTGAATTTTTAAGAAAGTTCTTTTTGGCTGGAAAAAAATCAGGCCAATTACAGGAAGTTTGGAAGCTAGAGAGTTGGCCAACTGAAAATGTAAGGAAACATTGTTCAGGGGGAACAAATGTTTGGTTCTCATCAGTGATGTTTCTGAGGCCGAAAGAGACATTGCTGCCCAGTCAAACTATTCTGAACAGGATTTTAGAGTACTGCCTGGTCAGCTGTTCCAGTCAGCTTAAATATGCAGTGTATCTGCGCGTTTAGCTATTCTAGTAGAATTTTATATGATTAGGTGGCTCATGGACAAAAATTAATTTTAAATTATAATTTTATTGAAAATAATTTGTTATACCTAAAAGGGATTTTGTGACATTTTGAAAATCACGCTGTGAGTCATGGCATCTTTATTATATAGAACTTTGAAATACATTTTATAAAATAAGTCCTAATACAAAGTATATATTTTTCTGTTAAACAGGTAAATACCTTCTTGGTAGAGTTTATTTTTTGAATGTTATTGTCCAGGGGCTTTTCTTTAATTTTGTTTTTCTGCTGTTGCATTTTAGAAAAACAGATTAAAACAATTACTACTCTGATGACCAAAATCTGGAGAACTGGACTCTGCTGATCTTTTGGGCTTTGTACACAATGCTGAGTTCAAACTAAGACTGTGGTTTCCAGCTCCAAATTGATTCTTCTGTCCAACTATTATTCAACTATGACACAGAAAAACAACATTTCTCTACTTTCAAGGGGTTGGGTTTTGCTTTATAATGTCTTGTTGTTTTCTCTTCTTCAGCATTTACTGTACAGCGAGAATTAGAGATCAGTTTCACTATTCTTGTATTGCTTGTAAAGATTAATTTACTGCCATAAACTGAAACTTGCTGAGCAGAGATTGTATTTCTATGTGAAGTCCTTCCAGCATAAAAAAAAAAAAAGTAATTACAGAGTATGCGTCATATTAAATAAGTATATTTCCTTCTTATCAGAATATCCTGTTTATAAAAAATCTATTAAAAGAAAAACACTGCAAAAGTACTGTAAAATATGTGACATACTCCTGAAACCAAGCTTCTGTATCGCTTCTTCATTGGAAATTAACCTTGAGTTTCCCACAGCTTTGTTTGTTTATTTATTTGTAGCACTATTTATATGGTATCTTCATATGCTCTTTGCAGGTGACGTAGTTCCTTTGCAGCTCAAAGGTAAAGTTTGCATAGCATTATGCTGGTTCATGAGTTCATGTCCTGTTGAGGGGACAGAATGCCCACAGGGCCAGGCTTATAATTAACAAAATTTTCCCAAGCAAGAAGTAGTTTTGAATACATTGTTTCAATGAGAATTTATTCTAATATTCCAGTAGACCAAGTTCAATACACGTTTGTTACGTATATAAAGGCTGAAAAACATTGCTTTGTTTAGAGTCCTGAACCTCCTCTGTACTTGTTTGTCCCCTGTCTTGTAAATTCTTATAATTGACAGTAGTATCAGGAATGATTATTTCTGTCCTTCTTTGCAAGATAGCTGGTTGTTTGCTGTATAGAAGCTGCTAATATGGGAGAATATGCTTTTGCCAGGAAACCATCAGATCACAGCAGAGATGCCTATCACTTCTGTTAGCATTAAATGTATGGCAAGTGATTTAATTATCATGGGATGGAAGCATAACCTAGCTAATTGAATTTACCTCATCTTCTCTGACAATGCATCCTGATTGCTATATCTTTACATCTGCCATATCAGGAAGTTCAAACAAATGCAACAAGAACATACATTTAAATAAGTATAGCTATTATTTTAAAACACTATGGTATTTTTCAAGAGTTTCATGTTGTTGAAATCAGGAAACAGAGTAAAATACCAATTTATTTTCATACACACTCATTGTAAGTTGATGTTTCCTTTGGATGCAGTGCTATGTGTTTTGATTTACTATGTGTGTATGAGGCATTCATGCTTATGGATGAACCTACTGTATTGAAGATTTCAGTATCCATCCTCATGCTTTAAATGAAAGGATTAAGCAAAATCTTGCTTATGTAGCAGGAAAAAAATTGCTAAAGTAACCAGAAGCCCTGGAAGAGGTCCACACCCTCAGGCTATACCATGTAAATTGATTTTAACTCTAATGGGAGTATTTTTCATTCAATATAGCATCAGCATAATGTATTGTTCATTTGTTTGCTAGCACCAGTTTAACACTACACTCTCATAATAAAAAATATTTCTTTTGGAAATAATATTTTGCAAAACCAGTTAATGTTCTAGAGCAAAGTGATAACAGTGTTTGATAAGATATTTTCTTTCATCTTTATAAGCAGAGTAGAGATCTGGGAGTGCTTCCTAAGTGGGAATGATCAATGCCAATCATAGCTTGCTCTCCACCACAGCTCCAGCGGGGTGCAGACTGACAGTGTATTCAGCTGCAGAGACAAGATAAAAGCTGTGCTGATTATGTAAACTGTTGCCTGATCTGAAACCATGAAGGGAGGTCAGTCATACTGAGTCATTACTGTAATCTGATTAGAGGTAAAATCTATTTTCGATGAATTTAACTGAGTATTTTGCCATTGACTTTGACAGGAGAGCATTCATACTCTTCTACTGGGGGCTGCATGCCAAAGTAAGATGACAAGTAAGCATGAACTCTTAGCTAGATGATGTAATAAATTATGAGGGTCACTCCAAAAGGTACTATTCCCAAAATACAATGTGCATGAGGCTTAGCTTGTCAGTGTTCATTAAATAACTGCCAATTTACACCCTAGAAGTGATTGCTTCTCTGTAGAGAGTGATGCTGCTTGTAAAATAGATCCTTGCAAAATAATATCCTAGAGCATTCTATACGTGTTAGTTCAGCCACTTATGAGACAAAGTCACTCTCAGGATGATGTATAGCAGCTTTTCAACAGTTATAGCAACACTATTACATAGTTTAGGAAATCAAGCAATGAATAGTGTGCTCTCCTTCTGCTCCTCAACCAAGACAATATGGGAAGGATGTATTTCCAGGACACATTCTATTAAGAAGAATACACTTAATTAATTTGACATTTGATCAACAGAAAGTTTGACCCTCTATCTTT